ACACAGGTTTCTTCAGGGATGTCCCTCGATGTCTCCCATTTTGTCTTGATGGCTGCTTTGAAGATCTCCTTTGTAGTTTCATCCTTCAGTTTCCGAGTGTTGTACTTGAATTGAGGTCTATCACCAGCTTCCTTGAAGGCTTTTAACTTGATTTGGAAGGTTCCTTGCACTAGATAGTGGTCTGAACCTACATCTGCTCCTCTTCTTGACCTTGTGTTAAGTAGACTGCGTCTCCATTTTCTTGAGATTGAGATAAAGTCGATTTGATTTTTAGTGTGTCCATCTGGTGAAATCCATGTCGCTTTGTGGATATCTTTGTGCCTGAACACACTGCCTCCAATCACCAAATCGTTGAATGCACAGAATTCTGCAAACAATTCTCCATTCTCATTCATTTCACCTAGCGCCTCTCGACCCATGGTTAGTTCTCTTCCCGTGTTGTCCCCTCCCAGTTTGGCATTCATGTCGCCCATCAGAATTTTGATATCGCCAACTGGCGTCTTGTCCAGTGTTGATTGAAGTTGTCTGTAGAATTCCTCCTTTTTCTCTTGCTCTGCATTATTTGTAGGTGCATAACATTGTATGATTGTGACCTTTCTTCCTTTTGAGTTGAATCTTGCTGTCATGATCCTGGAGGAGATTGGTTCCCACTGCATGAGAGCCTTCGATGCTCTTGGGGACATCATGATAGCCACTCCCTCAGTGTGCTCGTGGTTGTCGTCTGGGTGACAATATCGGAGTAGATTATTGATTCTCATGTTGACAGACTGAAGATTCCACTCCCATTCCATCTGCTTTCGCAAATTCCAAGCACTTCGATGTGATACCTCTTCATCTCATTTGCAATCTGGGCTGCCTTACTGGGTTCAAACATGGTGCGGACATTCCATGTCCCCACGTTTACTTTCGCTTTCATCGAGAGGAGAGAAGACACATCGGCCAATTGGCTTCCCGAAGGCTTTCACCAACTGGCGTCATTTCGCCTCTCCGATTCCAGCGGGGAATAAGTTTGTTTTCATTTTTTATATTTTGTTTGTGCTTTGAAGTTTCTTTAGCGGTTAGATTTGTTTTACGGGGTAGGGTTGCTAGCCCTATGCCCAACCTTCCCTCTTTACCCGGGCTTAGGACCGGCTAGTAACTAGTAAACTAGTTAACCAGGCGAGGTTATTTTCACCTAGATCACACCTTAATTTCGTTTCCCGTTTTTCTTATTATGTCCGCTGTGATATGACCACTAAAGACGTCCACCAGGATGTCTACAGATATTACGGAGTTGTTTGATTCGGTGTGGTAGCAAGACTACTGAATGAGTCTGGTCTTAGTCTTTTTCATAGTAGGTCAATGGTTACGCATGTGGGCCATCAAGTGAGGCTGCCAAATAGTGTCTCATGTGTGTAAATAAAGTTTGATTCAAGATGAATTGAATATCAGAGAGGGTAACAGGTTTGAAACATGTATTTTGAATGATGTTACTAGTTGCAGCCTTCCGTGTAACGGAATTTGGTTCATCAAGATGAGGTCGTCAGTGTTAAAGGCTGGTTGAAGAGCTTGGAGGGTATTGTGGATAACAGTTAGCTATATAAATGCACTTGTTCTTTACCTCCTAAATTTTGATAAATTTAGGATAACCATTTTTCGATTTCCTCTCCTTTTCTCGTTCATTCTGATTTCTTTCTCATTTGTTTGTGGGCTTTTTTTTTTACAAATTTCTGCATCTTTTAATTAACCTATTTCCAGAGGCTGTGAAGCAACGTAGGTTGTTGTGACTAAAACTTGTTTTCCGTTGTCTCATTTCATTTTAATGTTTTTTCATCTTGCTGTATGACATGCTGACTGCGACTGTTGTATTGTTGTACAAAACTCTTTACTTACGCTAATGTCGCGCATAGGCCTTCACAGTAACTCAGCGGCAGTGCCTACAATTCAGAGTGACGTTTTATGCATTTGATTATAATTTTCAGCTCTCCTAAATCGAAGTAAATACTCAGTTTAGCAATAAGAAATCACTATCTATATAATTCATCACGACAGTTAACACTCATATGTATCGAATTTCATGGATTTAGCAGAGGATTTCAAGTATCTGTTCAAGTTCTTGATTATTGGAGCTGCAGGCTCAGGGAAAACATGCATTTTACGAAGGTACACAGAAGGTAAATTCATACCCCATATGCCTCATACAATCGGAGCTGAATTTGGCAGTAAAATCATAAATGTAGATGGGACTGCTGTAAAAATTCAAATCTGGGATACTGCAGGTAATCAGTTTTTATGTATTTATTAGTCCAGGATTGGATTAATTGGTTGATATATAGTCTCTAGCAGTTTTGTGGTTTTGATTCACAACTTGCCTTTAAGGCAAACAATGGAAATTTAGCTATAAGTTAACGTCTCAGTGTGAAGGCTAAAGCTAATATCTAATTACAGAAACCTCGATTTAAGTTGATGAGTTGTCTAATCTTCAGGATAATACTTTTTAGACATTCTTAGGCCGTTTACAACTAATGATTTCTGCTTTCACGAAGACTTATCATACCCGTATTTTTTGATGACATGTGGACAATCATTGCTTCTAGAGCTGGGTGCCTTAACTTTTTGTTGACAATTTCCCATTCTATCCCACTTGTGTTGCATACTAAATAGTATTTAGGGGTGGACGATGGTTGGCTGGGCATAGCATACATACAGTTAGATTTAAAGCTTGCAAACTGAAACTTGCATCCAACTGGAATATAGTTGACAGAGCTCACCAAACCATCTGGTTCGGTGATATTTTTCTGCGAAACTCTCATTTTAGCTCTGTATACTCGCCTGGTGACTAAGTAGTGGTGTATTACTGGTTATTTCTCATATAGTGGTGACTACTAAACGTCTTGTATTTGTGCTTAACTCTACTGGTGAATAATCCATTAACGATTATAAAAGTCATCCAGTCACTTTATTATGTATATCCAAACTTGGGTACATGTCAACCTACTTCGGAACTAATGGAGAATATTTGTAGCTCAGGTAGCTGATCTTGGTTGTGTTGTGTTCTCTGGGCTGGGTTGTTTAATCGTGGAGCTTTCATCGTGTTTCTAGACGAAATCTTCAACACTAACTTCGGTATGCAGTGATCTGTCAATATCTCTGCGTGAGTGTTTCAGTAGCTTGCCCTGACGAACTGGTTTGTGATCGGTTGTTTTTTTCAATTGTTATGTCATTAATGGTACAGATTTTCTTGTTGGCTGTTCCTCTGCTTGGCCTCTGACCTTTCTATTGTTCATCATTTTTCTTATTGTTTGATAGATTAGGTCTATGTCTATACATCTGTTGATTGCTGACTGATCTGAATGTCAAACTTCTAGAAATTCTCTAATATTCTTTGTGTTTTCTCTGTCCAAAATTTCTACATTGTCAAAATTGAATTCACATCGATAGTTATCCACGTGCATTGAAATGAGTGATGAAATGTGACGTTTGATAACCAGTTGGTGTTCATGTAGACGAAGTCGTAGAGGGCGACCATTCTGTCCAATGTAGTGTTGATCACAATTATTGCAGTCGGTTTTGTAAATGTTATTGGGTTTGTCTTCTTTGGTTGTTGCGTCCTTTGGTCTGGACAATACAGTTTAAAGGTAATTTGTTGGTTTGTGAGCCACACCAATTTCAAGTGATCTCATTAGTCTTGCTGTGATTTCTGGTACATTCTTTATGTACGGTAGGGTGATGCGTTTGTTGATTTCTGTCGATGATTTAGTAGTTGATCATGCGTGGGATAGGCATCTGATAAAGTTTCGTGAGTAGCCATTCTTCTTTAGGATAGACATCAAGTAATTTTCTTCGTTTCTCCGTGAAGTTGTTGTGCTGCAGTGTGTTCTCGCTCTTTTAAATAAAGTCTGTACGTAACTAGTTTTGTGGGTTGTTGAGTTGTTGCTACTGTAGTTAAGGATTTGATCAGTATGCGTTGGCTTCTTTTACACTTGAGTTTCCTGTTTTCCAGCACTTGTTCTACTCACTACTTTACAACTTTTTCAAAAGACTTGCCGGCCGCAGTAGGATCTCCGTCCATAGATTTCAGTTTGCAGTACGTATTCAGGAAAATTTATTCGCATTACAACGAATAGGTAGGAATTATTGACGGTTTTACTGATGCTCAACCTTAAAATACTCATCAAATTTACCCCTGAAAAATACCCACCTAAGTATCATTCCTAAGGCGCTCAGATTACAAATGACTCCATTTGAAAGCACATTACATGCATAAATCGATTTTTGAATGGCTAATCTCTTATAAATTTTATTTCTGTAACTAGAAGATGAAGTTCATCTCAATGATATGATATGTTTGTACATCTCGAACAATCAGATCACATATTCGTTAAGTCATATGCCATATCACATACCTTTTATGTGAATATAAACAATTCTTTTCTAAACGTTATCCAGCAAATAATAATATACTTTCACATTGTGAAATATTTGACTAACAAATTAACATGAAAGCTTATAGTTGTTGGGGAAACAATACATTGACGATTACGTCACATCCCATTGTGTTTATCAGTTTGCATTTAAATGTATGTATGTCGAAACATACATGGGGGGGGGAGTAATCAACCCATGTAGCTGAAGGTTGATGAACATGCACCTGAACAGTTGGAATGAGAAAATTTGATAAGTAGTTGCAGAAGACACCCCTCTTCGTCTATAGCGAAACATACTATGGAAATAGGTAGTAGAATTAATTAGAAGACGAAGTTTATCTCAGATTCGTTATCCTAGATTGTTGAATAGTCATGCATCTAGTTTTCATTAAATATTCTACCGATCAAAACATAAGATGTATGACTACTATCGGAAATGATGTTTCAGTTTATGCGATTTATGTACATTAAGTTAATCTTTAGGAGGATTGTTTAATATAGTGAAAGTGTACAATTGGTAACCGGTTTATGTCATTTCTACAGTTAATCGATATTCCTAAACTGTTCTAACGCCTTTTCTAAATTTAAATTTAGGTCAAGAACGTTTTCGGTCCATGGCTCGTTCATATTACCATGATGCTGTTGGAGCATTACTTGTCTATGATATGACTAACCGAGATTCATTCAATGAACTTTCTCACTGGTTGTCTGATGCCAGAACTCTTGCTTCCCCTGATATCATGATTGTACTGGTCGGTAACAAAAAAGATTTACAGGTACTGATAAATACAGTCATTTGTTTCCTTTTGGTCCTTTTGTGAAACAGTGTGCCTCGGTGGTTGGGATTTCCAGTTCACGATCAAAATGTTAATTGGGCTAAGGTTTTTGGTTTCTGATATCCCGAAAAAAAAAGAAATATTTTTGCGTCAGTAGTACTGTAGTCCGTATGTATTAGATTTGGCTATGAAGTTTATGCTTAAATTTGCTAGGTGGGCTCATCAGAGCATAATCTCGCTCAGAGACATATAGATTTTAGTTGCCACACTTCATAAGGACACTGAAAAAACTCAGCAAATTGAACCAATGGCTCAGTGGTGATATACTGGCCGCGGAACCTGAAGGTCCTGTGTTCGATTCCTGGCAGGGTCTTGGGTGCGGACCGCTGAAGAGTCCCATACTAGGACGAAACGGCTGTCCAGTGCTCCCAGGTTTCCGATGTTTCCCCATCATATTATTTTACGTTATCTTACAGACATCTTATAATTCAGTTTCTTACTGTATATGTTTATTTGTGTTTCTGACCGTTAAGCAACGAAGTGCTTTCTTTTTGTCATGGTTGCTTACTTTCGGCACTACTAAAAGTAATGATTTCTCCTTACAGGTTGTTTGAATGAAATGAAAAAATGTAGAATATTTCACGGTTAGATAGAGTTTTGATCAAACTGGTATATTCAGTGTGTTGTATGCATTTTATTTATTGTCACTTATTTAGGTTCGAACCTACAGCAATCACCACTTTCTGTACGCAGATGGATAGTCTTGTTAGCTATCGCAGACTAGTCTACTGACGGGATGAACTGTTTAGTTGAACTTTGATCCTTTTTTGTTTATAACTAGGCCAAATAAAATCACCTACTTTTCATGCATTGAGCTGATATGGATACTTTTTATTATACTAACATACAACTAGTTGATATTTTAAAAAATTAAATTTTAGGATACTAGTGGACAAGTTACTCAATGGGAAGCTAGCGAATTCGCTCAAGATAATGACTTACAGTTTTTAGAGACATCAGCATTCACTGGTGAAAATGTTGAAGAAGCCTTTACTCAATGTGTTCGTAAACTAATCTTGAGGATTAAAAATGGTGAATTAGACCCAGATCGTTTAAAATGTACTAAACAACCTCGTGGTTTAACATTTACTGATCGTCCAAAACTGAATTCTATCCCACAGGTACATGTACAAAATGATTCAACTCTTTCATATCAATGTAACTGTTAATAATGATACTTATTATAATTTCAAGAATTCAAAACCAAAGGTACTATTTGTATTGTTGTCTATAACAATCATTCCTTTGTATAGTGATGTCAAACAAACTTGTGTTTCATATTTTTCTCCCTTATGAATTCTCTTTTGTTCCCCTCTTTTCTCTCTATGGTATGTGTTTTCAAGGTCATTTGCTTATCATTTTATAAAGTTACTTTCTCTCATTGCTTTTCTTTTTCTTTTGATTATATAACTTGACATATCTCCAAATAATCAGTTTAATTAGTTATTTCCTGTTCTCTCGTAATACTCTGAGAACAGTCCATTTTATTCAGCAATTACATGCCTGAATCTTTCTGGATGAAAAGTTTAAACATTTGACTTACACGTTCAAAATGAAGTTTACAAGTTCAAATTCCACTGTTACGTAATATTTATAAATCAGTCTACTATATTACTTAACATACGATCAATGGGTTATTTCATATTTTTAGATTGAATTATCATTTTCTGCTATATCTTTATATCATCTCACACATCATATTACCATCAGAGGAACTGTCACTTTCTTTTATTAGTTTTACACATTAAGAACACGTATACATTGTTTTAGCTTATTTTTCTGTACTTTGACTTGAAGTGGATTGTTCATATGTGGTTTTACTTCTATTATTACCATTATTATTATGATTATGTTTATTATAACCGCCCATCGTTTGTCTCATAGTTATTGTGGTTCTTTTACCACATGCTTCACGTGTGTTTGTAAATGTTCTTATCATTATGATGTAATATTAAGAAGTGATAAGACCAATGTTAATCATTCTGCCAAATGAGTCCAATATAGATGTTACCATGAACAGATATCACAGTAACTTCACTGTATTATTGACGTTTGTTCTGCCTTCGTAAGTTTAGAATTCTCTTTAAATAGTTAATTTAATGGAGTAACAATTGTTTTGTAATAATGATTGTGCTATAATCAACCTAGCAGTTTACGAACGATACGAGCCTAGCAGACTACGACCGGTACGAACCTAATGCACAAACGAATAGACTCTAATGCAAATCAGAACGTCAACCACCACCACAACAATACAACCGACGCGCGAAGACAGGAAGAGAAGAGAGACCCTCGACATAAAGCTTTTACTGTCTCAACAACAGTTTGATCTTCCATGCGTTGTCTCTGTTTGCGAAGTCTTTTTTGAACGAGTCTTCGAATGTTATGTTTTCATCTGGGTCGTAGACGAATTTGGATATGCTGCTACCGACGTTGTCATTGGCTGGAGATGAATCGACTGGGTAAAGTATTCATAAGCCAGCAAGCAACTCATTCAATTTGAGCTGCTGCTCCATCGATTTCTCCAAGCGTAATGGGTCCGTTTCAAAATAGACTCGTCACGAGCGATACAAGCCTAGTAGTCTACGAATGATACGAACCTAACGCACAAATGAATAGACTCTAACACAACTCAGAACGTCAACCACCACCACAACAGATTGCACAGAAGGGACTTCGACCTACTACTGGTTTAGGATCTTGACTTTTAACTGATGGTCTTCAATTCAGTCTCACTTATTAAGGTTAAGCTAGTTAGATGATATCATTCGTGGTTACTCAGTAGGTTTATCTCACTTTCTAAAGCACTTGATTACAATGGGTATTTCACGTCACCAGCTTTCATGCAACAAATGTTATCCATACCCATGTATGGATATAGTTGCTGAGTGTTTTTTGGTTCTTACAGTTGCAGAGACTGATGACGGAATTGAAAAAGAAGCTATTTTAAAGTTGGATTAGGATTAATGGGTAAGAGTTATGTATTTTTCTATAATATTGAGCTCGGCTGCAGAGTACGTTGTTTTAATAACTGAATTAAACCTTCGTCTTAGGATCATACTGTTTGATTCCCCTTTATGCGATGGTGTGATGTAGAATTTCTTTCTCAGGACAGAATACTGAGTAGTACACATCGATGAGACATTTTCATACCGTCCGATGAACTTCAGGGGATATGGGTTTTTCATTGAAGTTTCTTTTAAGATTTTGATTTATTTAGGTAGTCTTTTAAGACCATTGTTACAAAAGATACGTTGATGATACCTTAGTAAAATACGACAAACATGAGGATGCACCAAGCCTTTTAAAGAGAATTAACACCATACAAAGTCATATCAGTTTGTCGTTGGAAGTAGAAAGTAATAATCAGGTTCCTTTTTTTGTCATGTCAATAACTAGTAGGAGAGATAGTTCGATAAAAAGATCAGTGTATAGAAAACCTACGTTGACTGGAAAATACCTAAAAGTTCATAGTTTCTATCCAAGACAGCACAAATGAGGTTTTGTAAAATGCTTATTTAAAAGAACACAACCTATCTGCATAACACACATTAGGAGAAGAAATCAAATTCTTATTAGAGACACTGGGCATGTTAGAGCCTGTGGTGAGATGTCCGGGGAGCTGTACTCATCGAGGGATGTCCGCCAAGGGTGCCCACTCTCTCCATTCTTATTCAATTTTATCATAGATATTCTTATAGGGGTTTCCCTCTTGTCACCTGATTACACAGAGGTCGACCTAATCGCTGGAGAATTTTCGTTAGACCTAGAATATACAGATGACATAGTCATGCTAGGCGAAAACGCTGACAAGATGCAGAGTCCTCTGGACACTTTAAGTGGCAATTTGAGAATGTTTGGGATGCGTTTCTCACCACCCAAATGCAAATTGTTGCTCCAGGATTGGTCTTCAACGGTGCCTCGGCTAACAATATAGAGCATTGTGGTTGAGTTTGTCGACCACTTCACTTTCCTGGAAAGTAGGATTAACCCTGCTCCGGCGGCTCACTGGCCAACGAATTTTGTGTACGAATACAGAAGGCTCGGTTGCAACTTATGCCACATGTGGCCCTGCCGTGAAATCCGATTGTCTAATAAGGGTCGCGTATACTGCACAGCAGTCCGGTCTCTTTTGCTGTATAGCTGTGAAACATGGCCATTGAGGGTGGAAGACATGAGAAGGCTTACCACCGTTACCTTCGTAGTATAGGCCGTATTCCGTAGTGTCACCACGTGCATAACGTAGATGTCAGGTGTAGAGTTTTAGGGAGAAGAGATAAATCAGTTGACGAGGTTATGAACCTTCATCGAATGAGATGGTTGGGACTTGTGTTACGTATACCTAGTCACCGTCTGCCTCTTCATACAATGTTGGCCAAAGTAGGTCCAGGTTGGAAAAAGGCTCGAGGTGACCAGAATAAAATATGACATCAATGTATGAAGTTTTTGACTGTTGGTCTGAGCCATGTGGGTCGATGCTGACTGGGTGGTTGTGGTCTGCGGGACAAGAGGAACTAGTGGTTGGAGACTCTAAGTGATATGACTGAGAACCGATGTGAGTGGCGCAGATGTATACACACATTATCCTCATCTTGAGGCTATACAGAATCTCACCATTTTGTCATCCTTCCTTTCTTTCTCCTCGTACTTCATATTTCTTTTGAGTGAATTTTCTTATCTTCATCTTTCACCTCACTACCTTTCTACTTGATGTGTTGATATGAGCTGTGGCAGCTCGGACTGTTACTCAGTAATGCCTGGTCCTATGTTGATTTAGATAGATGAATGGATATTAGAGATACTAATGGAAAATACGTATCCACTGAACTTCGTCAACCGGTATGAAAACGTCTCAACATTTAATACTACTCAGTATTCTGTCCCGAAAAAAGGCGTGTTCGTCACCATATAAATCTTTGTTCTGGATAAACATGTAGATACGTGGCTTGGGCATCAACATCTACGCAGTAGATTTTCAGTTCAAGTCTGTTCTCCTATTTTGTCCTCGAAAACTGGGTTTCAGCGTTGCAGCCAACACTATGTTTCGACTATTTCTGGATTCCTTGAAAGCAACGGATCTTGCTTTGTCTGACGAACATATCTTTCAATACAATCATCAGATAAAGCAAGACCAGCTGCTTTCAAGAAATCCAGAAACAGTCAAATCAAAAAGTTCAGCAAACAAATGCAAGAAAAATATATTTCAGGAAATCATCAAATTATAAATCAAACATCAATAGAACAAAGTGGGTAGTCAATCTCTCCTCGAGAACCTTAAGCTCAGCTGAGACGAAAGTACTCGAAAAAGGACTAAACTTCAACATGATAATAGGTCATCCAAAACCAGATGTCATACCTAGCATAGAAGTAGCGTTAAGCTCTGTGGATGTAGCAACTACTGAACACTGAATAAACAAAAGAGGAGACAGCAAAAGTTAACAAAACTTGAAAGTTTAGCTCTGAATAATCTACGGAATGATAATAATATAGTAATTGTTAAATCTGATAAAGGCAATTCAACAGCAGTTATGGACAAATTGAATTACTTCGACAAATTTGACGAACATATTATGTTTCGTTAAATTAGAAGCCAACAGAGTATGATTCACGTATTGTAATTCAGAATACGGACAATATTGACAGTCCTGCAGTATAATTCCATACATGTTTTATACACTGTATTCATTCACTTACTTGTATCAATATAACTCGGATACCAAGTTCGGTTTAGTATTCAAGAAAGTCGACCATATCTGTTGCATATGCTGTCTTGTAATACTATTTGGTTGGTGAAATATCGGCAACCCCTAACTCACTGGTTGATCGCCCAAACCAACAGGCCTCAACTCGACAGTTAATCCAACAATTCTGTTTTTGAAAAAAATTAACTTTCCAGTCATATCTGTTCATCCTAGCTGTTGTTATCATTGATTATTGACAAAACTACTTAGTATAAGTACTGCCACCAAAAAATTGTGATTAAATTTCTGTGAGTAATCACTAAGGCTATACTAGTTTTATTCAGTTAAGTTTTGCAAAGAAAATTCGTTTTATTAACTGTTCCAGTGAAAGCTGAGTCTTCATAAGTTTCGTATTATGAAGTAATTCTGATGAATACAACGCAACTATTAACATCTGGTCAAAAATTTTTGTTTGTAGTTCTGTATAGTACAAACTTGGTAAGTGAAACTCAATCAAATCAGATTCTATGTATCCTAAGGTTTTCTGATGCACAGTTATGATATTTGGAAAATAGTTGAGTCTACCAAAAGATGACTTAGTTTTCTCTCCTCAGTGGTACAGCAGAAGTCGACAGGGCTAATCACCACGTTCTACTACTTTTCAAGAGATATTCTTCTAAATACCGTTGTTTTGTGTATTGAGTTCG